GAAGATCGTCTTCGTCTTCAATGTCCTTTAGCAGTTCCGAAGGTAATGAACTAGTAGAGAGGCCAACCTTGGGTTCCGCACCAAACATGGCCTTATAAGGCGATTGTTTAATTCCAGAATGAAATGCCCGATTTTTCATAAACTGTATGTACCTTAGTCCTTCTGACCATTTAGTTGTCTCGCTGTCATTCATCCAAGCACTCAGCATGTTTTCAATATCTTGGTTTGCTCTTTCGACTGATCCCTGACTTTGACTATGTCGTGGTTTTCCATGCACGATTTTGAGCTCTGGCCATAAGCTTGTCACTTATAAAATTACACGATTCACAAATTCTCGGCCATTGTCAGATTGAAGAATGCATGGGGCCCCGAAAGTTAAAAATATATCATTTAAATGGTAGGCTACCTCTTCTGCTCTCTTACTTTCCAATGGACGAAGCAGGACAAATTTTGTTAGTTGGTCCTGATACACCAATATAAATTTAAACCTTCCATCTGGTTGTGTCTGGAAGTCAATAAGATCGACTTGGCATCGGCTATTCATTTCGGTGTGCAAAATCGGTTTGGAGACTAATCCTTTCTTTTTTTTCATCTTTTTTTGTTGACAGACCATGCACATAGATAAAAAAAGACATATCATTTCTGTTGTGATATTCGCAAACTTTTTAGAAGTTTCAGCCAACATTCTGTCACGACCACCATGTCCCACTGCTATGTGAGCTGCATCAATAACGTCATATAACATCAGCGGTGAGATAATACTTTATATTATTTGTATTTCCTTCATTTCGTGCGGTAAGTTTCTTTACACCTCCGATTTCCACCACATCAAATCTTTTCAGTCTTCTTTGTTGCAAGGGTGATTTATTTTCCGATTTTTTAGCCTCTTCCACTTGTTGGATAAGTGCCAAATACTTTTCCTTTGTCAAAACATTAAAATGAGTTGATTTTTCGTCCTCAGATCTTAAAACCTCTACCAAGAATCTCTGCCTCCACTATTTTTGACCTACGTGCCCACTTGATGAAGCCTCATCCATGTTAATGAGATACAGAAATACTCTGCGAACTTTAGATACATAAACAATCACGAAATGTTTCAGAATGTTTAGCTTATGGACAACACGCACAATACGCAACGATTTTGCAATAAGACGAACGCTCCATAACAGTCAACGTGCCCGTGCAAACTAAATCCTTGCGATCGGCGCCGGCGAGCCAAACCAAGGTTCAGACGAGTTCAGACTAGTTAAATCGCGGATCGAAATAGTTTAGACTAGGACAAATCAGTTTTTCCTAATCATAATTAACTTATTTCAGAAAAAACCAGTTTAGGCTAGGATAAACTAGTTCATCCTATCGCTCTTCGGATAAACTGGTTTGGCCTAGGAAAAACTAGTTTATCCTAAAATCGGGTTTGTCCGGTAACATATATTTATATATATATATGCCCACAAGGCTAATATTGTAAAACAAGGCGAGCACCGCAAATATGAGTCCTATTCAGTGTTTGACATTCCTTAAGCAGGGAATTGATTCTTGTAATTAGTTTTTGGAATTTTCTGCCATGATGGTACAAAGTGATGAAGAATTTAACTTCATGCTGCAACTCCATTTTCCCATTTACACGTTGTAATTTCTCATAATTGGTGCTCCTACATGCCCATGCTCTTTTTAATATTCTGAAATCATGATTGTCAATTTACCATGGACTCAATTTCAGAACCTTTACTGATTATACATACTTGCTTAGCACCAGCTTGTCTTCAAGTTCGTAGGTGTTAATTCTTATCATTATGACTATGATCATACAGGTTTATGCCAGGCTTTAATTAACAAATTGCAGTGTAGCACATATCGCTCACATAAATCAAATTCACGTTTTGTTTCTGTAAGATTCCTTCAATTATGCCTGGATACATAAATTCCTTCTTAGAAAGATCATTCACCTCCTTATCCTTCCAAAGTAAACATAGCATTTTACTGAGGAACCAACTTCTCATAAAGTCTGTGATAATGAATCACACCTGAAAACAATGTGATAAGTATATAATATGGATATGCAATGATTTGTTTTGTAACTTACCAACCTCCATCAAGAGAATAGCTTGTAAGCTTCTGGACTTTCATACACACAAATATATTATAGTGTAATATATCCATGTGCATTAAGTTTCCTAACTCAACAATTTCTTGAAGATACTACAGGTTGTGGAATTTGTTCAATGTAGCGAGGCATTTTTGAGTGATCAACATTATTTGCAAGAAAATTATAAATTATGGTTCTGCTTTCCATTGAACGTCAAAACAACAACATAACCTCAAGCCAGAACTGTCAGATGTCGGAATCAAAAGGAGGCCATACATGTACGTCAACAAAGAAGACGTAATATTATCGAAACCAAGAAGGCCATAAACGAGCCCTACAATTGTAGGGACGACTGACGATACGGGCCTAAGTGCCTGTAAGATTACTTCGAGTCTTGTATTGCAATGCAGGGAGGCTCTGGGTTGCCTCGCAGCGGGGCATCCGGTATCGTTAATATGGGTACCGGGGCACGCTGGGATAAGGGGCAATGAGACGGCGGACACTCTGGCGAAGACAGTATCAGCCAGCAAGCTGGTTGGTCCTGAGCCAGCTCTAGGAGTATCCGCGCATAGAGCTAGAATGAAAATGGAGACGTGGGTTGCAAGACAACACTCTCAGAAATGGAGAAGTATCTCCAGACATCTCCGCCAGGCACGGGTACTCATTGAAGGGCCCAGTGCTAAGGATGGACGTTTCTGCCTATCTATGGATAGAGCCAACCTAAGGTTGCTGGTGGGACTGTTGTCTGGCCATAACACGTTAAATCGTCACCTGCACGTGATGGGGGTGGCTGAGGATCCCTTGTGTGAACGCTGCGGGTTAGAGGAAGAGACCTCGGCGCACGTTTTGAGTCGCTGTGAAGCTCTGAGCTACTATAGGCAGACTATACTGGGGTCTATTACTTTGGACCCTCAGGACGCCAAGGAGCTTGGACTCGAGGCGATTCTCAACTTCGCTAAAAGGGCGAGGCTTGTGATCTAAGGAATGTAGAGGTGCATAAGGGCCCGCTTATGGCCTATGCACTGGCTCCTTATGGTGGCCGGAATGCCTCTAATTTCAAGATTCATTCATTCATTCAAGGGTATATACGAAAAAGACAATTAATAGAAGCAGGCCATGGAATACACCAAAACAAATACCTAATTAAGTACACAAATAAACCTGAAATTTTCAATAGTACCTATCGCGTAACTTTGAGCAACTTTTGTGCTTACCAAATGCGTTTTACGAACGATAAAGCTGTTGATCTGACATATTCCTGTTTTGAAGTAAAGTACCGACGTTTCTTTCCATAACTCATCAAAACGTCATAGTATGTTATATCAATCTCTTTGTTTTGGAATGGTCTATCTGAATGTTCAATAAAATATAGGACATTCAGATTTTGACATTTTTGGAAAATGAAATGTCTCATATTTTGTTACGTATTCGGACAGACCTTCGCAAGGAAAGGACATTGATGTACAAAAACACTCAACTTTGACAGCCTGTCATTCCGTCATTTTGAAAGATGTTGCTTTTATATTCTATTACTCATAAAGAGCTTCAAAGTGACACAACCCTCATTCCATTTAAAAAACTGTTCCAAAATGTCGCACAGCCGTCATCTTTAAATCTTCAATTGTCCCCTTTACGCTAAAATATAGTATTCATATATAAATTTCATCACCACTTATTTCAGCTTGCCTTTTTGAAAAACACTGTATATTAGGGTCGAGCGAATTTGGGGAAAATTTTTTTTCCTTCTATCGCTAAGGGCTAGTGCGGAAAAGTTGCCTATGGTACTTAATTGTAAGCCACCAAAATTTGGATGATTTAAAGAAATGTCTAGAGGTGCGCCCAAGAGCTTAAAAATCGCATTTTATTTTTAAAGTAGCTCTTCGCTATCTATTATTTTATTGAAAATAATTGATACCCAGAACTCACCACGAGAAGGTGGCTGCTTATCGAGTTCCACCACCCTCCTCCTCCATCCATTTCCACCTACCTCTTTTCTCAAAACTTACGAACTAATTTTAAAATGCATATTCCCTCTTGGTGTTGAATTGAGGCATCTGTTGTCTGGATTGAATTCTTGATCGAATAAAACCATCTCTATTGATTTCACCACAAACTGCCAACGAAGCTTCCGTAACTAACTTTATACACCTTTCTACAGCTTGCGTGTGAGATGGAAATCGATTAATTTCTATAATTGTAGGATTATTTACCAAAGACGACAAAGTCTCATCAGAAAGATTTCTCAACAAAGGTGGCTCTGTTAAATTGCAGGTCTGCCAATCAATGAGCTCCACAAAATCCACTGCATCAAAATTGATTCTTGGCACTTTAAAATACCTAATTCCTTCCACCTTTTCTTTTTTGCGAATTTTAAGAAGTCTGCGGTAGCCCAATTCCCTAATCGCCTTTGACTCATCAGTTATCATTGATAATAAAATATTTTCAAGATGAGCAAGAAAACATTCCTTTGTATTACTGGATCGATAACTGATTTAACCTTGTTGTCAAAAACTCGGGACCATTTTATCATGTTAAGAAGATGACGGGGGCCATCTTTGCATGATGGTTTCAACTTAACGTGAAACCAGACTGGAGCATATACTTTTAAAATGTACTCACTTAAAATTTTAAGTTCGGGCCAATGACCTTTGGTGGAAATAAAGAGTCTAAGAATTCTGTTTGCTGCTGTGAGCCATCGTGAGTGTCCCAATTTACCTGGGTTTTTTTGAAGCAAACTTTGAGAGCATTTGCCTGTTATGACTGCTTATCAAATATCCCATAAATATTTTTTATCCGTACTTAAGTCATTGGGAATTAGTTGTGGTATATTCTCGGATTTGATAGGACAAAATTGTGCTAAGAGTAACGTTTCACATTCTCCCAATTTTTTCCAATAGGGCCTGAAAATCCATGAGGTCCTGTCGTGTGTCCGTCTAACTGTTGCAATAAATGCCTTAATGAAAGTTCGTTCGCATGAAAGATACAAATAAAACACTGAAGAGGACGCTGAATGTAAGTTTCCAGTAATCTTATTATACCGTTCTTTAAACCTGTATTTACTACCGTCCCATCACAGCCTATTGCAACTAAATTGGAGTTATCAGTCTTCTCTAGCAAAAATTGAACTAGTTTATTGTTAATATTTAACGCTGATCCTGTTCTTGGTGTTATGTGGCCTATATATATTGGGATCCAGGTTCTTTAACTAGTACGACATGCTCTTCGATTACCGTCTTCCTATAATATTTTTTATTTTTTAGTTGTTGTGTTAGTGTTTTGTCTTTTCTTCCGTCGAAATATAGCCCCTCTAAAATTATTTTTTCTTCATTTTGAAACTCCTTTCGTTTTCTTTTCCTAGATCGTCGTATTTTACTGCGATCTATAATTTTAACTGAGTCTTTAGGGGTAACAACATTTAAATCTTCTAAAACGGCAGATGCAATTAAAGCGGCAGCTCGATCAGAAATACCTGTTCTGTCACAGGCTTGGGCTGGTTCTGGTAATAATATTCTCATTTGCTTATCAGATTTTGAAGTTGAGGCAACATAAAACGAGTAATCAATATTTGATGAAGATGCAGATGAGCTAGATTTATTTGGTTCAATAGGAGAAGCCGCAGGAGAAACGAACTCTTCGTCAAATCTGACATTAGTTTCAACGCAATTAGGAGAGGAACTTGCATTTAATAATTTTAGGTCTCTCGACAACTCTTTATTTTTAACCTCAAATTGTTTTGTCAATCTCTGACTTTCTTTAATATCCACCGAACCAATAATCATTTTTCGTAGACTTCGTTGATCTACCAAAAAAGATCTTTCTTTTAAAGGTGTTTTAATCTTGCAAGTACATAATCCAGAATCAATACATTTACAGGAAGTTATGTCAAATAGAGTACTATTAGCATGCTGAAGAAAAGTGTTCAATTTCATACGTTTTTCTACTCTTCATTGGTTTCTTTAACACCCGATATTTTTTGTAATAGGTTTTTATCATATCACATTACGTTTATAAGATAGAATGGGTAAAGAAGCTTTGAACCAAATTTCTTCTAGCCGTTTTGCATCACATTTTACTATTTCGGTTTCACATGGTTATTTTTTTTTGAGTTAATTTTAACTGATATTTTATCCATAAAAAATATCTCATAACAGCACTATAGGTTAGTAAAACATTGTCTTCTAGTTCTTTAGGCGCACCAAACACCGCACAAAAAATATCTGCTCTAGTTTTATGCATCACGATATGAACTAAGAAGTTTTGTAATGTCTTGTTGATAAATATTTGTAAATTATATAGGAATTGCTAGATTAGTTATTTCACATTAGTTATTACTAAGAGTTTAAAAATTAATAACCATAAAATTTTTATTGAGCTGTTAACAAAACAAACAGAAAATTAAAAATATTTTCCAATTGGAAATATGCGGTTTTATACTTCTTAATTAACCTTTAAACGATAATGATGATCCTTCGTCTTGAGTATTCAAATAAAAGCCTGTTACATTAATGCTGGGCTAACATTCCGCATAGGCGCCATGTTGATGGCGTTTCCCACTCAGGTATTATGGAAAAAATCTAATCGGAATATTTTCTCCAGGCGAGCCTCTGCGTTTGTCTTGTTTAGCTACCCTTTACGGTAGACATTTTTATAGATTTTGACAGACTCTATACAGGGCCAAAGCCACATACAAGGTGAGTTTTTAGTGTGTGCTCTGTCGATAGCACCTTTATTATCAAATATATCTTGAATCGTAACTGCATTTGAATCACCATTGCATCTAGAGTAGCAAACTTTCCATAATAATGAACTTCACATTCCGTGGTTTTACTATCATTTACTCGTTTTTGTGCATTATCTATACAGGGTGTTTATAAACGCAAAATATACTTTCTGCTCAAAAAACTCAAATGTAACACCCTGTATATTTTTTATAAGCTCCAGTTTGGTGTAACAGTTTTGTGGTTGAAGTACTAAGTATTTTGAATATATTTAGCGGATGGACACAAGACTTCAGTGAAATTACTTCTAGCCTTCACTAAAAATCCTTGCTTTTTACGAACTACATGATGCTTATTTATTTTAACTTGTAAATTCTTGGAAACTGCAAATATCTCAAACTTAGTAATGCACAAAACATTTTATACCAGAGCAAAGCTTATAAAAAAGATAACCCAAAAACGCAAACATATACAGGCCGTACCATTTGCTCTTTAGAAAAAACGTATTTTGCGTTTATAAACACTGTGTAAACAATACACAAAATTTTAAAAATGCCTAAACGATGAAAAACTATGGCGTTTCTTTCGGCCCAAATATCTCGTAGCTCAAGAAGTATCAATCAAAATCCTTTAGTATGCGTCTTTTGAACGGGCTTTACATAATATACTAAAATATTCAGAATGTTCCATTTGAAATGCATGTTGACGTTGCCACATAATTCTGAATCACCCAGCCGAATATTTTCCTAGGAGCGCAAAGTTGTCTACAATTTGTGCAAATAACCTTTTTAGATAGGTATCTTTTATGATCACGGCACTATCGAACGAGCACACACTTGAAACCTCCCTGTATGTATTGTTTTGACCAGATGTTTGACTATGTTTGAACTATGTATGAACTTGCCAAGTTAGGCAAAACGTAGAGTACCTAATTTGTTTCATCTATTGACTGGAATAATATAAAGATGGTACAATGCCTTTCCTATCAATGATCACAGAAAAGCGTCATCTAAATAATTTTTTTACTCATTTTCTTTTTAAATATTCATTCTAATTTTTTCGGCTCCGGTCTGTGGACACCCTGTTGTACATTGAAGATACCCAGTAAATTAATGTTTTACAACCTTAATTTCAACTTCCGCATTCAGGTGCTAAGTTTTCGTGGTATAGTAGGATACGGTTGAATAACGTTAAATAGCGTCAAAAAAACTAATTAGTAGCTTGAGCAACTGCATTGTACTGTGCGTAGTTTGTACTACTACCGTAATATTTTATTTGAACTTTCCTCTGTAAATTAAATATACATATTTTTACAGTGTTTCATCTGGCTTATCAATATTTCAGGAGAAAACATACAATTTTTTTTTCTGTTTCCATCAGGCATGCTTTGGGAAACTAAGGGAATAGTGCAAGCATTACATGGTGTGTTGGCTTCGCCTGCTAGTACCCCATATTTGTAAATAAATATATGTGTGTATTGGTCAACGAATTTGAGTGCTTAGCATGAATTACCTCGCAGAAAGGGGAAGTAAGACTCATAAACGGTCTCAGATAGGTTTTTGTTGTTTGTTGTCAAATACTATACAAGGGGCTTCCGTTTGGAGCTTAGCAAAAAAAAACTATTGAAGGCTGACTTACTTCCCACTCCACTGCAACTCTGTGCACGAAGGGTATTTAAATTGAGGTTTTCCATATTACTATGGATATTAATATCATATAACTATTCGATTGTTGTTGCGAACACATTCTAGAAAATAATTTTCAGGTCGACTGTAATAAGTATTTGTGAATGTGTTTGGGTAATTTCAGTGTGCGGTGCGCGTTACAAGACTCGTCCCGGGCTGACATACCACTACAACCACTCACACAAAGAGGGCGCTAGCGATGAGAACTCGCGCGACAGCGCAGGCATGGGACCGGCGACCACCCCCACAGGTGGAGTCGGAGGCCCAACGACCCCTTCTCCTGTAGGTGGAGCTACCGTAGCCCCGCCTATGGGGGGAGAGACCGTTGGTGGCGCTGCAGGTGGTCCCGCCCCCCAACCGGGGTCGGTGGATCTGTCTCAGCAACCTTCGTCGGCGCAGGCGATCCTGAGACCGTCCGATCAGGGAACGGTTTATCAAGACAGTTATGTTTCCTTTTTGAACCAGACACCCGGTACTACCTTTTGGATATTCCTGTTTTGTTATGTGTTTCGTGTAATTGATATTAAAAAACCGATACCGTTGGGTTTTGAGAACTTTTTCGCTCTTATCACGGTTTTGTTCCACCTAATGGAGAAAATGCGTTAAGTTATTCATTATAACTGTTGTTTAAATAGAAGTAAATTAGCTATATTTTTGTTAGCCTTTTTTCAATAAAACGTATTTGATGATAGAATGATCCAATTTGCTTCAGGGATACGTTTTACTGTTATACCAAATATAAAATTATTACGTGTGAGTCTGAATGCACTCAACATTTTGAATCAATTTTTGTAAGAAAATTCTGAAACTAACTGTAATAAGTTTACACAAATTTTTACAAAAGTTGTAATAAAACTTTTTACAGTTAGTAACTCACAAAATTGTCATAGGTTTGTTTTAAACGTTGGACTCTTCAATATAATTTTGAATATTTCTAGTAAATAGCATACGTCTCTGCAAATAATGCATGAAACAAATATATTAATAATCCATCACTTCCCAAGATCATACCGAGTCGTTTGAAACTACGCATATGGGCAACACTCTCTTCACCTGGAATCGTTTTATGCTTTTTTATGTTTGTGCGTTGGGTTGTTTGGAATGCTAGAGGTTTCTCAAAATATGTTGAGCTCTAACTAGTTCATCTTGTGGCAAATTTCCGGCCTATGCATTTCTCCTCAAAATAAATAAACATTTGAAATACCCAAACGTATTTAATACGTCAACAATAAAATTTCAATCTCAGCAAAAGATAATTTCTGCTTTTGCATTCCTAAATAATTTGGTATGATCTATTATGTACAGACGATTACCTGTAATTTTCTCAAAATAGCTAAAATTTAAATTTTACCGGAAAACATTTCCAAGGATTATATCGGAGAATGAATAATAAACTCAGCAATTCGATGAAAATGGGATGTTTTTAGAGCGGTTTGTTATGTTTTAGGTCTCAATGATTCACCATGACCAAACTTGTCTGTCGCTCTGAGCGTTTTCGAGTGAGGCGCGGCACAACTCAAACTAGCACAATCATCAAACCGCACTCAATCATCTTCCTTTTCAGCGCTATCGCACAAAATAAAAATCGCGTCTAGTAGATTGGCTCTTAAGTCCCACGCTCTCATTCAAAATTTCAAAATAGAAATTTAAATCAAGTCTATTCAAAGGACACAGTTCGAATCGAAACTTGACTAGGTATATTCACTTAAGTTAGATATCTCTCATGCTATATAAAATATATATTTCGACCATATTTCTGGTGTGGTGGCAGCTGTATGGAAAATACACAACAGTTACAACCCTCCACTCTCAACAACCAACAATTTTCGCCATCTCAAGGGTTAATGACTCACTTTTTTCACTTTTTGCCCGCAGCTTCGCCGCTATGGATCAAATTTGACAAGGCTTTTTCGTTCTTGGCATACTTGTGTACCTTGTATCAAAAGCTCAACCAAAACCGAGCGGTATTATCCGAGTTATAGAGGGTCCAAACCGACTAAAATGAGTGCTTTATCTTGTCGTACATATCAAGTGAAATCCAAAAAACAAAATCTCATTTTAATAATTTTTGAATTTTTTCGGAATTTCACTGCTTCAATAGTTTCGGCAATCTGTGGGTAAGCGTGTCCAAGATCCCGCCACACGAATTCCGTTCATTCCGCTACGGTATGTAAAACGAATTTACATGGCTGGATGCCAGACACAGTCACCGACAAGACACCGACCACTATACGAATCCATTTGTGAACTTAATCATGTAACTGTCATTGTCAGTCGTCCACAATCCGAATAGAATCAGGAAATGAAATGATTTAGATTCAGATGGATGCCAGGTTTAATCAATGTAATTATTATTATTAATAGTGGTAACGGAAGCTATGTCGTATTAACTAATCCGATGACGACCTTTTGTAATACAAATAGGACAACAAAACGTGTATAGGATAATAAACTAACGGCCGTATTATAAAGGGATTGCAGAGACAATGCGGTACTCATTCCACGGGTGTGTTTCTGTCATTGCGATTTAGAATATTGAGAATATACATAAAGGCACAAGATGCTGAAGACGAAGTACTACGGTTGATTGAAAATGGGTTTTTTAGTACAAATATATTTCATATTTCACGGAATGTTGGTGTAGCTAAATCGACAGTACATCGAATTCCACGTTCCTCATTCCACGTGTGCCGGCACTTCTCCCAGAATATTACCCAAAGAGTCCAATTTTGCATAAGAATGATCCAACAATCCAGAAGTGACCCGAAGTTCTTTAAAATAATGTTACGGATGAACGAATACATTTTTCGAAGATGATGTATTTATAACATTTATACAATAATAAGGCAGGACCGCTTTCAACAATGATTTGAAGTCAGTTTATGCGTTAGACTAGTAAATGGTAAATTTATTGGCCCTTTTGAATTGTCAGCGTGATTTTGAGGATACATTAATTTAAATTTTCTGCCAGAATTTTTAGATGAGATGTTATGCGAAAGACCTTTATCTAGCCGCACAATATTGTGCTTCCAGCCTGATCGTTCTCCGCACAGTGCACGCCAGGTTAAATCGCGCACCTTACTGAACGATGACTTCACAGGATTTAGTTAGATTTTTGTATTTACTATCCCTTTCACCTATTCGCATTACAAAAAGTTGATAACTGCATTTACAGGAATAGTGGTGTTTCTGCAGTACTTTTATTATAAAATTATGTAAATGAAACCATGCCTTCAATTGTTTGAACCTAGAATACATTGCTGTTTGAAGACTTATTGTCACTCAATTGTTCCCTCGGAATGTAGAAGGTTGTCAATCACAATTAATGGATTAGGTTTACAAAATGGGAATTTTCGTGATTGATGATTTTGTCTCTATCTTAGGCAGAAATCATTTGGGATATTTAATTATCAATGGCCACTGTATCTACCCACTATTTTTATCTACAGGCTTATTTGAATATGCTGTAATCTTTTCGATAGCAGACACATTAATGGCTTAGCCGACTCCTATATCTATATTAACTGGAATAGTTTTTCTAGTTGTAAAATTCGGTAAATCATTCAGACAATTTTTTATATAAAATTATTTTCTTTAGAATATTTCTCCTTTAATGTGTTCAAATATAAATGCACCCGTGATATACATAAATTGCTTTACGGTTAATAATGATTTTTAGTGTCTATAAGTTTATGGTACGAGCTCCTTGGTTCCTGTATAATCCATGACTTGATGTGTTTTTAAAAAGTTTTTGATGTTTTAATAATCTGTATTGATGCCGGAATATGATTGAAAAATTGAAAAATTATGGGCCTAAAAAGAGAAGAGACCTTTGACCGATGGTTTTTGTAAATTTTCGCACAGATACTGAATTTTGTTTGAACCTCGTTTGTTAGTGGTGACTGATGGGATTTAGATGCATCTTATTTTTAATGTGGTTCATCAATCCATTGTAAAAGTAAATTTGTCTGACGTTTGGGAGCTGGGCTTCTAAGTAAAAATTATCCTTTGGATATGTAATCTCCTTATGAAGGATCGGTTTTTATAGCGATTGTTCATGAGTCCTCCCCATGCTAGTATACTATATGATAGAATAGGGTAGACAAGAGCGTGGTAGAAAATATATAGACACTCTTTGTTCAAAAAATATCGACTTTAAATTTTGTATAATAGTACGGTCGTCATAGCCAATACACAAACGTGCCTGAGATTGCACCAGTGGCGTAGAGATTTGGAAAATTGGCCCCTACAGAAGAAAAAATAATTTTATGCCACTGACTTTTTTGAAAAATCAACATTTTTGAATCATTTTTACTTGAATCACCTCTGCTAAGACTCTCCATTTGGAGACAAATTGGTCTGAATATTTAACGAAAAATTCGCATAAAAAACTTCATCCCGTCTACTTTGGAAATACGTTGAAGTTAGCGAAGTTTGACATTGATAACGTATGCAGAGTATAAGGAGAGTAATTCTATCTCACGAGAGCGTTATTTGAGCAATGTTCTTGTTTTATCCTTATTCACTTATATCAATGGCGTAGAAATTTACAACACTGTTTATCTTGATAATGGGAAATTTCAGGACCTATATTTATAGAAACTTTTTTTTTTGTTTTTTCTGGATTCATCTTTTACGCAAGAAATTTTACGTTTTCCTGAAACACCGTGTATAGTAAGGGATCATACCTAGTGAAGTTTCGATTATTATACATATTGGCTGATCACTATGCTTGTCGCAATATGAATAATGGATTATTCAGTAATTATAATGTTTTGGATATGTGATAAGACGGAAGTTCTCATAAATTGTTCAACGGTTATGCATGCACAGTAAACGTTTGAATATGTAGTTTTATGTTCGTTTTAAATAGCAATTTGTCGTATTCTTTCCAAACGTGGGATCCATTATGCAACAAATTTTACCTCACATATGTATGAACGAAAACAAATATTTTTTGATATTCATCAATTCAACAATAATAATCCTTGTTAATAATTATTATAAAAGCTTACTTAATACATACCGTATAATCAGGATTTCTTAAATGCAGGAGAATAGAACGAATTGGTCAAACAACATGCACTCTACATAGCCAGTAGTATAAAGCTGAGCATTTAACGGGAATAAAAAATAATAAATAAACAATAAGCAATAAACGATAAATGCAAAATGATAAATGATAAATGATAAATGATAAATGATAAATGACAAATGATAATGAATGATAATAAATGATAAATGGTAAACGATAAATAATGATCGATAATAATAATTAATTAATACTCTAATTATAATAACAACAATTAATTAATATTAATTATAATAATAAATAATTAATAACAATTACAATAATAAATAATAATAGTAATAAAGTGAGGTTTTAAGATTCGTTCAGATTGGGCCTGCTTGAATATCTAGCAGGTGTGAAAGAGAAAATACGTAATTTTTCGTAGCACGTTCATTTGATAATTTTATATATTTATTTCAAATTGGGTTTTTTTCGAAGAATTTTTCGAATTGAAAAGTATTATAGTGGAATATGATACAGCGTTTTGTATATGCAATTTTCTATACTTTTTGATGGAAAATTTAGAATTCAAAAAAAACTTAAGATGCTAAACCGGAAGTAAACATT